TTCTTCTGCCTTGATGTGTGAAGGGAGGAATTAACGAATTCGGCTTCGTTTGATATGTGTGCTCGCAAAACGAAATGATTTATGGAGGACAATCCTCGTGAAATGTTGTGCATCTTTAATTTTATTGTGTTTCTGATATTGATCGTGTACATCTCTTAGCACCATTTACTTTTGTCATGCAATGTGTTATATTGCAAATTACTCGACACGAGATCCGCGTGTTTGTCACACATTCATATCTATCCATAACCATCGATAGAAGTGGCATCGCCTGATAACTCAACCTTACGACCTTCGCCGCCTAATCCGACCAATCATGTCATTCGCTTGAGTGTTGGTCGCACGGCCTACGTGACCCTTCTTCTATATTAAAGGCAGTCTTCAACTATTAAGCTATTTACCTTTGTAGGGAGTATTTCTGTTAATATTTCATACCCTCATAAATCTGTTACCTCGACCTTCGCTTTCTTGTTTTATTGTTTCAATATGATTTTTCAAGTTTACCGTAGCCCTTACCTTCAATCCGAGGAATGCTGGTTTCGTGATAGCTTTGTCAGTTCTTAATTTGTTTCTGACTCACGTTGTGAGGCTTTGATAAAAATGTTGACTGGCGCTTACATGTTGAGCAGGGAAGACGTTGTTAATAAAGGTTTTGTTGCATATTGGTTGAAGTTATGGCGGTTTCGCCTTCTTCAAAGCCAGGAAAGGTCAAGTTGACTGCAATCTAAGCCTAAGCGAAACACCTCTAAAACCAGGAAATAACACGTCCCATTGGATGTGAAGGTGTTTGGCCAGGGGTGCAGTCAATTTGATTTTTCCTGTTTCTGAAGTATACGAAATCCGCCGAAACGTCAGCTTTTTCGTATACAAAGATTAAAGTAACAACCTCATGTTTGGTCATCAGGAAGACAGTGAATTGTACGACTTCACTAACACATTGGTGATAACACGATCTCCGTGGAGGTTATTCATAGTGGGACGCAGTGACTGACATGACCTCTCCAGAGGACTTGGTGTTTAGTTTTGGTGGATTGAACTTTTCTCCTACAGTTGCAGTCGACCTGTAGGTTTATCCAGTGCGGAAATGTGTAAAGTTCGTTCAAGGCAAAATGTTCTCTTAGTAACTTTTTACTTGACAATTTACAATAAAGTTTTTGGATGAGCTCATTTCGTTCATAGTCGAGGAAGTGTTATTTTTGAAGAGAGCTTGCCCCACAGAGACTGTTACCCTAAGGAAGGAAAGGAGACATCTCCGCCGTATTTTTACATTGAGGCTCTACCCGTAGGGAGGGTCTTCGCTATGATAAGATGATATGTTATCAAGGAGACATCTTCATAGAATATGCATCAGCGTACACCAATAGAGTTTGTCTTTATTGAAAACTATCAGTCCTTCTTAACGCAACTATAACACGATGAAACACAACCATAATGATGCTGGGATATTTGTAAAGCTCCTGACTGCGGGTGTTTGCAGTGGGGATCGAACACGCTATTACCCTTTCCAGGTGCTAACGCGTTTATCACCACACCATGGGAGTTCTTCGTTTTCCCTGTCTCTCAGCTAGTTTTCTATCTAGCAGTGCCATCAGCAGTCACCTGTCAACGAGATTGACCAGTTTTGCAAATATCTCAACATTACTATAGTTATAACACTCATGTGTTGAAAATTGTTCTCAAAAAAATTTAGTGCACAATATACAGTTTAAGAAGTGTAAAAGTAAAACACACACAATTTAAACAACCGCCATAAAATCTGCATACTTTGTCTGCATACTCTGCAATCTGCATACTACATTGTAGTCCTTACTTACAAATGAAATTCTTCACATGGAAGTTCAAATTCTTGCCTGTAGTCAATGTTTTTCTAGAAAACTGTGATTTAGTTGCATATTCGGTCTCACCATCTACAGGAGGGGTAACGGCTCTTCGATGTGCTTCTACATAGAGTGTCCTATTTTCTACCCTTTTTCTCACATTACATTGATGTTACAAAAGTTGCAGTTAGGATGATTTGTGTTATAACTTAGATATCTATTTTCTCTAAAATATATACGCAACCCAAAACTTTTGTGATCATCACTTTTTACATATAAATTATACTTATTATAACCAACCATATTTGGAGTTCACTCGTTTTGCACCCATTCTTCATCCCAGAAACCTAATGACCGAACAGTTAACAGATTTCGAATGTAATTTACAACCACTATAACTGGCAAAATTTAAAATCGTTTACTTCACGCATTACTTGTTCCAATGGCAGCATTTGCGCTGTACTTCGCTTTGCATTCGAGTGGACATAAAGTCCTGATTTCCTGCTAGAAAGTAGTGTCGGAAAAAAGGTGAAGCGAACCGTGAAGAGGAAAAAATTTTCACATTGATATTAGAGCAGGAAAATATCCACCGTAACTAAGCGGTGGATCACCTCTAAAACCACTGAAGATGGTGGCGGTTGAGTTCGTTCACCGCTTGGAAGACAGCGAGCGGCACGAGGTACATGAGATGATCCAACCATTGGCCTAGAGAAAAAGTGACCAGCACATCTAAATAAGTGCGCACAGCTACAGAGTTCAGGAGCCTTCCTACACGTACCACACACTGCTTCCCTATAATTACGTGGTCGAAGTGGTAGAGAAGTATCCCGAAACGTTAATGCACAAAACCCTATTGAAAAAGACAAAGGATAAGGTTCTCGGCGTTGATCAATCCTTGAGGTAAGCGCCGTGCATTTGACTTCATCGAGCATCGTTGGGGTGATTGAATGCATATCCATTAAATACACACAGTAGCGCGATAGGATGGTGGACGAGTTTTTTCGTCATATACAAGAGTTCTCTATGCACCATGGGAAACATGCAGGATGCATTGGATAGGAGAAGCCCAGAAATTGTTTTAAAACACGAAAAAAAGCCGAACTATAAAACACAAACCACAATAAAATACGGGTCTACTGGTTTAGGAGACATTGTGGCCAGTGTGACTTGCGTAGACGTCAAAGTGAGTGCCGGCAGACATTAGCTGTAATCGCTAAAGCGCTCAACACTCAAGCATTAACGCACCAAACTCTAAAAATGTATTGGATAAATTGCAAAAACCAAAAAATTAGCCGTACATTTGAGTGCTTTATGGTAATGTGTGACGCTGCGCAATACCTCAGTCTAATTTCTCGACTTGAGCGAACGACATCCCTTGCCCACGTAAGGCTCTGCACAGTTAATCTCCATCAGTAAAGAACAGAAACTAAGTGCTGTTTATCAAGCGAATAAAAATATATGTAATAAATTTTATCTTCTGAGGAAATGAAAGTGTTCGAGTTAGTAAATTGTGTGTCGATTTCGCCTTTCTCGGCTCTGAAGATTGCGAAACTATCGAAACTTCATTCGGTGTTGAATAAAGCTCTTATTAGCAACGTTGTGTTTGCGCAAGAAGAGTACAAGAATTTGTTGATCACTGCCGATGTAACAATAAGAGCGGTATTGAGAATTCCTACATAGGATAGTTGCTTCATTTGATTCTAGAAATATAGTTAGAGTATGTGTTTGTATTGCTGAGCTTACACGAGGGTTTTTCTAAATCAGCAACACTTTACTATTTTCTGAGCTTAAGCCAGTTGAGCAATACGAAATAAAAAAGTTAGGGCTTGCAGGAGAACATCAATCAATTCATGAGACCGGCCTGAAAAGAGCGAGGAAGATAGCTGACAGCCTGATAAAAAAGTATGTTTTTGAAAGGTTGAATGGTGATTGTTTATATCAAAATTATCGTTAAAGTATTTTGTTTTACCATCCTCTTTCTTCATAAAGGTATCAGTTTCCGTGAGTTTTTATTTGACAATGTCTCTGGCTAGTATTAACATTTGATTTACTGCCTATTACAATTTTTCACACAGAGTATTATGTGTGATACAACTGCCGATTTGAGCCCTCCAGATCAATCCCGTTGAGGGATGATTGCTGATAACACCTGTAAAACATGGCTGGGAATAAGGCGAAACGAAGCACCACCATGGTTTGGTGGTAAACTCGTTAGCCCCCCCACCCAAAAGTGTAATAGCGCGTTCGTCCCGCACCACAGACACCTGCGGTCCGGAGTTTTGCAATTATCTCAATATTTAACGTTTTGTTTTCTGCCTTCTATAATTTTCATGGCAGGTTACTAAGTAAGCGAAATACAACCACAACGTTGCTGAGATATTTGCAAAACTCTGGACCGCAGGTGTCTATGGTGGGGAACGAACATTAACATTGTGATTTCAACTACAGCCATAGCTTAACTGGGTTCTATGCCGATTTGCGCTCCCCAGATCAACCCCGCTGACGGGTGATTGCTGTGGCAAAAAGATCGATAGAAATAGCTGAGAGACGTGCGAAACAAAGGACCCGCATGGTGTGGTGGTGAACGCGTTACTCCCCGGAAAGGACAATAGCGCGTTCGTTCCCCACCATAGACACCTGCGGTCCAGAGTTTTGCAAATATCTCAGCAACGTTGTGGTTGTATCTCAATATTATTGTGGTTGTTTCTGGTTAGTTTTCGATACACCGGAACACAGACGCAATGATTAGAATTTCCAAGCAATAGGTGTAGGTTTTAACCTACATGGAATAGATTTGAGAGGTGTGGGCAGCGGAGTGTTTAGAGGTGCATTGAAATACACCTGTCGTCGTATGTTCGTCCATGGTAAACCGTGTTCTGTGTCGCAAACTGGTAACGGGCTTGTTTGAGAGCATAAAAACAGCTGTCTTCGTAGGTCGTTAACCCATTCGCTGTATAGGTCGAATATGCATTCACCGTCTCTACAGTGGTTGATGGAAACGAAAGCATCGAGGATTTCTGATGAACGATTCACCACTGAACACTTTATACTTCAACTTTTGTTGCGAGATCAGCGATCGGCAGTGCTGCCAGCTTGCTAACGATTAAAGTGAGCATAAAATTATGTAACTAACGACTAATCTTTATGTCTGCCACAGTCTCAGGTAGCTTGTTACATATGCAGTTATTTCTCAACAACGATACAAGCAAGGACTTTTGAAGAAACGCCGTCATCTTCCAGTTTTGCCAATCCTCGCGATGTTGTTGCTACCTGAAGAAATCTCTGCATTTGTAGAGGATGAAGAGTTGTAGAAAGCAGTAATCACCTACTCACTTTTGTTGGTGACTGAGATTCTGATGGTAGACCCACAAATTTCGTCGATTTTTTCGGTTTTGCTGTTGTACTCATGTCAGACCCAATGTCTACAATTTCAATAGAAGGTTCGTCGCGTTCGGTAGAGTCGTCTCTTCGATCTCCGTTTTCACGGATAGCAGCCTATAATGAAGTAAAGCTGTACCTAGCCTATGCAATCCTATATACTATATAGCTTGCGTAGTTGTAAAGAGACAGTTTTGTAGACGATAATTGTGTTTTTAATTTTTCGTTGAAAAAGAAACGGAAATCGATTCTTAGCAGATTCTTTCTTGCCGCATCTAAGATCGTACCACCTTACTCTTGGTTTGGTGATACCCGAGTAGTGTTTCGTTAGCGAGTCCACTAAACGATCGAACTGTCTTAACGCAATCGTTTTGCACCTTATGGAAAAGGTGTTACCAATGTAATCTCGTTCACATTCAAACACTCAAATCGTCGATCTAGTTGTAATGCGCGCATTGGTGTAAATCTGTATAGATTGCCTTACGGATGAACTACGTACAGATATGTAGGAAATTTTTGAGAAAAGATCGAAGTTCTTTCCATTAAAAACCATAATTTGGTGGGTTCCAGTGATCTAGATATTTTGTTCACACTGCGATGCCTTCATTTAGCGGTCAACCGGAATGGATCACTTTACTTTATCTCACCATTTCTTCTGAACTTGGTTTTCGTGTCATATTGAGGTTCCATTTCTTCTCAGAAGTCGATGGTACTTTCGAAGGTCGGTGTTGTCCCACTTCTCGAACGGCGTACATTTCCCCGGTGGGCAATTTTCGAGGTTCCGCCTTGAAAGATGGTGACGGGGGAACTTGAGTTAAACAACCTAAAGAATACAATGCTATGCTAATGTGTAGTTAAGACATAGAAAGCAAAACTTGGTAACAGAACTTGGGATGGCGGTTTTTTCACACTGATATAGATGAGGCTTAAAGCGTATTAACTTATCAATATTTTTTCTATGGCTCGAAAACTAAAGCACGCAGACAAGCCTTCTGCGTGAGACGGGAAGCATTTCCTTGAAAGGTGGTCTTTTTTTCTATTTTACACTATTCAACATCATTTGTTTTGCGAACTGCAAAACTCCTAGCAATTCGGTTTTCGCCCGTGTCAATATTTCACGATAGGCTTTAGATATTGAATATGGATTGGAATGCTTTCTGCAGATTTTTGATCTTTGTCCTCAATGCCGTTGAATGCTGGTCAAGTAAGTGATCCTTGGATAGCAATGACAGAGCGTTCCCATACCTTCTTGGCTGGTAGCCATCAGGTTTTGGGAAAGGAAAGGAGTGAGGTTATGACAGAAAAGTTTGGCTTATTGATGGGCATCAATACCACTACGTTACCCGCGCTCTATCTATTTTTTCTAATACTACTATTTATTCTGAATAGCTAATTTTCTACTGGATATCCAACTCATCTGTTTCTGTTAGAATCAAACTATGTATTATTAAACATCGGTAGGCTACCATTTCAAAAGAGGTCTCAGTAAAGGTTGTTAAATAGTGTTTCCTAGTACCGTTAGTATTATTTAGCCATATTTATTGAGGAGCACTCGTTATTTACTCCTGTGTCCTTTCACATCACCTGTCTTCTTAGTAATCATCGTGACTGATTTTCTTCAGAGAAACAAACATTCCTTTTCGCTGACATTTTCAGCCACTAAGACGAATTACCTTTTAAAGCCCATCCGATTCTTAACACATTTGTGTCGACATATATCAAAACTTAAGGTTTTCTTTCTTAGCTGTGTCACACAATATATGATCTTTCTCTAGCGCGCTCAATAATGGTAACTGACTGACCTTCTACTAGTTCAAAGTAGCATACAGGTTTTTGAGAGGCAGGTCAAGGCATAATGAGTCGTGGAGGCAAAGAGTGACCGTTAAGAACTACGACCTTTGTTCTTTCCAGTGCTTCCTCGATACTCTCGTGAGTTCATCGTTAAGCTCAAATGTGGCATTAAAAACGAAGCCGTTTCCAGTGAACATCGTCATCTTGAGATTCAATGAAAGACCAATTTTTCCATAAGCGTTGTAGAAATCATCCAGCATTCATAATATCTGTTTAGTGCCTGAGGCTACAGGAAGAATATCATCAACCTGACTTTTATTATCATTCGCTATCCTTGCTTCGACTAATAATTGGTATAATTTCGTTGATAAGTGCGAATGTAGAACAGTGGGTAGAGGCACCCTGTAACAAATATACAATCTTTGTTCAATCCCGCTCAGCTGCGCTAGCTATGCCCTCCATCCCTTCGGCATCCACAAATTGCGACCAATCTTGTCTAAAGGAATGAAAACACTGAACTGATGCGTTGGTAGGTTACCACAAGTCATTGAATTGAATTATATGCATTCAATCAACTTTACCATACTACGAATGATATGAATGCATAGAAAACCGCGAGGCGGTAGATCAACCTTGAAGGCCTCTATTCTAATGTACTTTCCGTTATCAAGTTTTTCATCCGACTTTCATTCTACGTAAGAACAGTTTAGTGATAGATATAAAAGACTACATGTATTTTTACCGGTTGTACCATTCGATGATCGTTTCACACCGAGATCATCTTTTCGTTGACCCTTTGGTCGCTTTTTTTGTTGATCTTCTCTATCAATCCGTTCCTTAATCTGTTCTTTTCTTTCGTTTCGCTTTGCTTTCTCTAATTCCTTCAGTATTTTTAACTGAAATTTCAACAACTATTGAACAAATCAGGGAGATCTCATGCTGGTTAGTCGAGAGGTAACGCTGCGTGTCCCTAAATGGCACGTAGGAGTTAATCGTAGACCAAAAACGCAACCTTATGCTTTCCTGAGAGGAAGGTGAATCCCGGGGATGGACTTCCTGTTTCTATTGTGCCGATTTGGCACATGCCTTCTGTATTTACCAGGACATATTCAGGTATGCGTGAATTGATGTGTTCTCGTTTATGCTGATTGTACTAGCTACTAGTCAACTCGGTTAAAAGCCTTCAATCAAGTGACAAAGAAGTATATGGAGGACGGTTAAGAGTCATCTCCAGCAAATAAGATTTTTTGCCTATTGTGGGATAAGCTGATAAGCTCTCCGTGAATTTACCGTGCCCTCATTTTCAACGTTCGGCAAACTATACGTAGCTATTAAATGTCTGAGTCCTTGATAGAAGATTTGATTATGTAAGAAAGAAGCATAAGGTACGAGGCCACCCATTCGACGCCGTCTATGACAACGGAGAAGAACTGCTCTTTGGAACATACTACAGCAGTCGAGGAGACGGCAACTTCGGCGATCACGACAACACAGATTTGACCATAAACATCGATTCATTCAAAGAACAAGCGACTCATATAAGACCTTCAGGTTTGTGGATCTGTGGATCAATGCCTGCATCGACAGTCTTCGTCACCTATATACCGACATCAAGCTATGACAAAGATGAAGTAGATGTCTTCTACACTGAATAGGAGAACTTTTACTGAGAACAGCATGCATACTTTGATGTCGGAATTCGAAATTCTAACGCTAAGATTGGATTCAAACGAGCGTCTGAAGAATGTCATATCACGAAACACGGTTTAGAATGGAACAAGTAGAGTAAGCGGCTGTCTGAGTTTTTCGTGACAACTAAGTTTCATTCGTGGTAGCTCACAATTCCAAAACCCCCCTCAACGCTGGACGTGGCAGTCTCCTAACCAATGGAGAGTACTATAACGAAATAGACCCCATCATAGTAAATAGAAGGTTTTGCTCAACAGATGTCGCTGTTGACTTAAAATTCTACACGGGATCAGACCACTGCCTCCGTGCAAGATTCTATTTCTTGCGTAAAGGAGAAAATGCCGCTAAATTGAAAAACCGAAGTCCCAGAACCACAGTATACTGGGACTTATTCAAATCATTAGTCGGGTATTGGGAAGATGCCGCTGTCGATAACGTCGACAAAGAATACGATCGGCTCATTCAACATCTTCACGTTAGCGCTATGAAAGCTGAGAGTTCGAAAGTCACCAAGAGACGTTTGTTACCAGAAGCACTCGAGCTAATACACCAGTGTGGAATCGCACGAGCTGCAGACAACCGCGAACTAGCGTCCGAACTTGCAAAACGATGCAGACAGGCGATAAGAGAAGATTTTAGAGAGAGAAGAGCAACACCAATGGTCGAAGCTGCAGAGGCTGGAAAAAGCATTCGCAAAGCCCACCAAAGCTTCGTCAATTACAAGACCAAGATAATTGCATTCCGATGCCCAGACGGGACAGTTACAGCGTCCAGAAAGGCAATGAAGAAAATCGTTCACGAATGCTACTCAGATCTCTTCGATAGCGACGTCCACCTTCCGTCATATGAAATAAAGGAGGATGAATATGTCGTACCATCGGTTCTCACTACCAAGACCCGACATGCTATTTCGTCGGTAAAGAATCGAAGAACACCAGGTTCAGACAGGATAAGATCAGAACATCTGAAGAACCTTTCGCCAGTCCTCGTAAACAGACTGCCTCGGTTCTTCACATGTGACCTGTCTGAATGCTACGTCTCTATTCAGTGGAAGACCATCGAGATCGTGCTATTATTCAGGAAAGGTGACCTCTGCGATATCGGCACTACCACCCAATCTACTTACTCTCCGTCATCTACAAGTTATTCTCTCGAGTCGTCCTAAACAGTGTTCGCAAAACACCGGGCAAGTGACAGCCAAGACAGTAAGCAGGTTCTCGAAAAGAATTCTGTACGATGCACAAAGTCCATCGATAAGAACACTCATTGAAGTAGCGCGTAAGTGCGAGAGAATGCTCTGTTTCACTTTCAAAAATTTAAAGGCTTTTGACTCATATGGGACAGAAGCGGTCACGAGAGCCCAGGACAACTAGAATATTCCTTCACAGTATACAAAAATTTTTCGTGACTTGTACAAAAAATCTGGAACCAAAATGTCCCCATTCTATAACGATATTCCACCAACGTCAAAATAGGTGCTAGGCAAAGTATTGTAACCAAACGTCACCAAAATTATTTACTTCTACCTCTAAAACGTCATACAAGCGCTGAATTAGAACAATATGGTAGTGAAAACCAATGAAAAGTAGTCACAGCATTCTGCTGACTCTTCACTGAAGACACCGTTCTTATGACTCTGTGCATTAGCCAGGCCGAACGAAAGCTATCCCATTTTCACAACGCTTGTGAGAAGATTGGCCTTCGACTACAGCTTACAAAACTGAATGTTCATTAAGCATGGATCGGCTTCGTATGCTCCCATTTACGGTTAACGAAGCGAATATCTGTGAATGCTCCAGTTACGTCTATCGAGATCGAAAAGTCAACATTATTAACGATTTAGCTCCAGAGTTGAACAAGACGACGTGCGCAGCTTGAAGAGCTTTCACTGTCATCGAGGATGTTAGTGACGAGATAAAAGAACATCCGACTCCGTGCGCACGTTTTCCACTCCACGATTCTTCCTACCTTGATGCATGCGTCAGAAAGCTGGCTCCTACGCAGGGAGGANTCGAAAAGATAACGTTTCGAGTATACCGTATCACGCAAGTAAGGAAGAGGCTCTGAAACTCCGATCTATGTGAAAGGTCAAAAATCAATGGCGTCGTTCCACGTACCAAGAGTGCCAGACACGTAATGCGTATGAACGACAACCGATTGAAAAAAGCCGTTAACAGCTGGATTTTTCGTGATGTTCAACTGACAGCAAGAAAACCACCGGCCGGATGCCTACGACTCTCCCAGAAGCCCTAGAAACATGATATAACGCCCAACGACGCCTTGAAGGGATTAGAACCCTTTTGGCCGCTTTTATACGGGACGATAAAAAAGTGAATGATACACTGATGCACGCGAGTCACGATCAACGGGACGGCACGTGATAGAAGTGTTTGACTAAATCGCCTTACAAATATTCGGTATGCCAATCTGCTGATAGAAGCATGATGGAATTATCAGCACTACCTGGAATACCAGTGATCATCGAGTCACTCTAGCGAGCAACCTTCACGCCCACCATTTGACCTTCTTTTGCAGACCACTGTTGCTCAAAATATTGCGTTCACGCAAGGGACGCAAACACTATTGGTCTCATGCCATGGGGCCTTTTAACTTTACTGTTCCCTGCAAGGCGGCCTCCTACGGCAACCTGTATGGTTTTTTTGTAATACTGATATACTCCTAGCCGGACTCCTCGATGGAAACGTCGAATTCCTTTTCAACTTGGGTGACGTTGTTGCGAAAATGAAAATCCCGTTGTACGTGGCCGTTGCAACTCCATTGTCGCTCACTAACGCCCAGCATTCCTTTCTTCTTTGTCACTTTTGATGGGCTGGTAGACCATTTTAGGACGCGTAGGCATCCATAAGCTTTTTTTCGTAGTATGTTTTAATCAAAGGAACATCTCTTTGATATATTTAGCCTAGTCGTTCTTAATCAAGTATAACTAAAAGTTTGTTAGGCATAGTGAGGGTGCTTACCTGTCGATCTCTAATTCGTTGATCGTTTCCCCCCGGGTAAAAGTCTCCAGGCTTATCGACTTGTATTGTTGCTGTGGCTTCTCTAAATACTTCGTGAATTTAAGTTTATGCTTTACTAAATTGTTATTCACCTCAAAAATTAGCTAGTACTTACTGTTCATGAGAAACGACATCTGAAGACGAATACGGTCGAAACGCTACGGTAACCGATAGTCTGACATCTTGTGGTTGTTTCACAAAGTTTTGAATCGTCTTGCAGACAACATCTGTTATGAGCTGAACAATCGATGTTTGGCCGAAAATCGATACGTCATGCTATTCATTTGATTTATCCGTATGTAACTTACGGCTTTGTTATGACATTGAAAGTCCTTCTCAAGTACAAATTCAGGAAAAGTCGAACTGTTTTTATTAGTCCTAAAAGAAGCATCCAGTAGGCCTTGTTTGTATGCATTCAATAAGACTGAGTGATGAACACCATACTTACATTTTATTTGAAACAAAGCCCAACCGGTTAGGTCGCCCTAACGCATGAACTGACCACGGATCTGTATCGATCTCAACATCATATCATTCGGATAACATTTCTTTAAAATATGCTACCACTTATGCAAGGTCTACTGAATGCTATCGAATGCTTGAATTATAATGATAATGCTTTGATAAAAAAGGAAATTAGTATTTGTGTGGACACTTGAATGCTCGGCTTCATGGATCTTGCGAATAAAGCCAGTACATCATCCACTAGTCCCGTTAACACGCTACTGTCGCTCATAGAGGTGACCTACCTTGTGCGTAATGGCGCACACTAGCTCATCGACTCCGTAGTCCATCAGTAATTTTCAGATATCAGTACAGTTCGCTGGCATTGATCACAAATAGCTCCGACCGTTTCTCGTCAATTTGTCGTTTACTTTCCTCATCAGGTAACCAACCCACCCACGGTTCGCCCCACACTCAGCAGCACTGTACGTAGTTTTTAGAGGAAATGATGTTCATTATTATGTTAGATCTTTAGCAGTATTGTAGATATTTCACTAAATTATGGGGCTGTCATTACATACAATACGTCTAGGCTTTGAAGGAAGCTATGTCAACGAAACGTCTGCCAACGAACAACAGCATCAACATCAACAACGACAGCTTATACCAACCTCGCATCAGCTCAATGAGGGCATTTCGTAAGAAGATATATACATATTCTGACATAAGTAGACTCACCAAGTTCCGGATTTGTCTTCTTCCATCAAAAACTGTCACTGTTACCTCTGCATATTCTTGCATTGGTGACCTAACACGAGATTGATTAAGTCGAGAGTACGAACGACTGTGGACGATCCATTCCGACCATAGGCTCCAAAAAAGACGAACACGTCAAAGCGTTAGTCGAGCAAAGTTCATTTTATCAACCTCGTGTTAGTTCACCTATGAAAAAGCGTATTGATTAGTCACGCAGAGATTAAAGTAAAATAGATTTTCGAATCATATGATGTTGAGATCGATACAGATCCGTGGTCAGTTCATGCGTTAGGGCGACCTAACCGGTTGGGCTTTGTTTCAAATAAAATGTAAGTATGGTGTTCATCACTCAGTCTTATTGAATGCATACAAAC